TATAAGCCCGCATGTAGAAGACCCTACAAGAGAAGGAGCAGTCTTGAACTTGATTTTAGGTAATGAAGCTGGGCAAGTGGTTGAAATATCAAAGGGCAGCATTTTGCAGGTAGCAATTGTAACTTCCTTAGATTCAAGATTGTTATGGAATAGAACAAGAATGGGCCTGAAATCAAAGTTCTCAACTGGGGGAAGGCTGATTTTTAACAACATCAGATATGATTTGATCGGAATGAACTAGGAACAGATAGAAAAAGGGATATGTAAAGATAGTGGCATGTAAGATAAAGGGAAATCTAAAGTTTTACAAGTATATTAAGGGTAAAGGATAATGCAGGAATGAGAAGGGTCCTGTAAGGACCACAGTGATAATTTGTGCATTGAGCCAGAGGATGTAGGTAAGGTTCTAATGAAAATATTTTGTGTCAGTGTTCATTAGTCAGAGGGATGATATGGGAATAGAAACCAGGGAGAAGGTCATAGAGTCATACAGCATGGAAACAGATCCTTTGATCAACATGGTCCAGACCATGCTGAACATAATCCAAAACTAACCTAGTCCCACCAGCCTGGTCCTTGCCCGTGTCCCTCCAAACCCTTCCTTTTCATATATTTATCCAAGTGTCTTTTAAATGTTGTAATTGCGCCCAAATCCACTACTTCCTCAGGATGTTCATTCCACACGCCAACTACCCTCTGTGTCAAAAAACTTCCCCCTCATGTCTATTTTAAATCTTGTTCCTCTCGCCTTAAAAACATGTCCCCTAGTCTTGAAATCCCCCATCCTAGGGGAAAAAAAACCTATCATTAATCCTATCTATATCCTTCATGATTTTATAAACTTCTTTAATGTCACGTCTCAACCTCGTATGCTCCAGTGATAAAAGTGCCAGCCTGTCCAGCTTTTCTTTATAACTCGAACCATCCATATCCAGCAACATCCTGGTAAATCTCTTCTGAACCCTCTCCAGCTTAATAATATCCTTCCTATAACTGGGTGACCAGAACGGAAAGCAGTACTCCAGAAGAGACCTCATCAATGTCCTGTTTACCGTCAACATGATTTCCCAACTCCTTTGCTCAAAGGACTGAGCAATGAAGGCAAGCATGCCAAATGCCTTTTTAACCCCTCTGTCTACATGTGATGCAAACTTCGATAAAGTATGTTGCTGAACCCCTAGGTCCCTCTGTTATACAACACAACCCAAGGGCCTACCATTAATTGTATAAGTCCTACCCTAGTTTGTTGTACCAAAGTGCAATACCTCGCATTTATCCAGATTGAACTTCATCTACCATTTTTCAGCCCATTGACCGATTTGATGAAGATCTCTTTGTAATCTTAGAAAACCGTCTTCATTGTCTACCACCAATTTTGGTGTCATCTGCAAACTTACTAACCATGCCTTCTATATTCTCATCCAAATCATTTATATAAATGACAAACAAAGGAGGATCAGAACCGATCCCTGTGAAACACCGCTGGTGATGGCCTCCAGTCCGAAAAACAACCCTCCACTACCCACTGTCTGTCTCCTGCCGTTAAGCCCGTCACATATCCAATTGGCAAGCTCACCCTGAGTCCCATGTGACCTAACTTTACTAATTAGTCTACCGTCCAGAACCTTGTTGAAGGCTTTACGAAAGTACAAATAAACAACACCTACTCCTCTACCACCATCAATCTTTTTGGTAACTTCCTCAAAAAACTCAATCAAGTTTGTGAGACACGATTGTCCTCGCACAAAAGTATGCTGACTATCCATAAATCCTACCTTTAAAATCACCTCCAACAATTTACCCACCACTGAAGTCAGACTCACAAGTCTATAGTTCTCCAGTTTCTCCTTACAACCTTTCTTAAACAAAGGTACAATATTAACCACCTTCCAGTCATCAGGCACCTCACCTGTAATTATAGATGATATAAATATTTCTGCAAGGGGTCTTGCAATTCCCTCGTTTACTTCCCGCAACATTCTGGGATACATTAGATCAGGTTCCAGAGATTTCGCCACCTTTATATTCTCTGAGACACCTTGCGCTTCCTCTTCTGTAATGTGAACTGTTTTTAAAACATCAATATTTATTTCCCTGAGATCTCTAGCCTCCATTTCTTTCTCCACGTAAAAACTGACACAAAATATTCATTTAGCATTTCTCCCATCTCCTGGGGTTCAACACAAAGACAACCTACTCGATATTTAAGGGACACTACACTCTCTCTAGTTACCCTTTAACTTAATGTTTTTCTAGAATCTCTTTGGATTATCCTTATACTTAACTACCAATGCTAACTTATATCCCTTCATTGCTTTCCTGATTTCTTTCATAAGAATACCCCTACACTCTTCATATTGATTAAAACATTCAATTGAACCAAACAGTCTCTATCTAAAATAGGATTCTCTTTTATTCTTGACAAGAACCTCAATATCTTATTGTTCCTTAATCTTGGCAGCCTTACCGTTCACTCTAACAGGAATATAATGCCTCTGTACTCTCGCCATCGCACTCTTGAAAGTGTCCCACTTGTCAGATGTCCTTTTGCCTGCAAACAGTCTACTCCAATCAAATTTTGAAAGTTCTTGTTTCATACAAATAAAATTTGACTTATTTCAACGAAATACTTTATCGTTTATGGACGGCTTATCCTTTTCCGTAACCATTTTGAAACTAATAGAATTATGATTGCTAGACCCATAGTGTTCCCCTACTTTTACTTCAGTCACCAGCCCTTCCTTGTTGCCCAAAAGAAGGTCATCCTTGGTCTCATCCTTTTTCATACAGGGATATATCTTTCCTGTACTCTTGCCATTTCATCCTTAAATGCCTTCCACTGCTCTGACAGTTTTATCTGCCAGTAGCAGTTCTGAAGCCACTTGGCCTGAAGCATATCTTAGTAAAATTAGCCTTTCCCCAGTTTAAAACTTTCATTTTAGTTCTGAAGAAAGGCCACTAGACTTGGAATGTTAACTCTGCTCTTTCTCCAGATCTGCTGAGTTTCTCGAGCAATTTTTGTTTTGGTTTCAGATTTCCAGTATCCATAGTTGTTTTAATTTAGAAGTTTTATTCTTGGCCCATCATTATCCCTTTCCATTAGTATACTAAATGTAACTTGAGTTATGATCACTATCTCCAAAATCTGCTCCTACTGATGCGCCTTCTACCTACCCAGGCTCATCTTCCAATATTGGGGACTACCAATGATATAGATAGATTCACAATGCTGGTAGGGAAAGAGGTCCAGGATTTTGATCCAGTGACACTGGCGGAACAGTCATATATTTTTAAGTCAGGATGATGCATGACTTGGAGGGGAACTTTCCAGGAATGTGTTACCATGTTTCTGCTGCCTTTGTCTTTTTGGATGGTAAATGTTTTGGTTTGATATTCGGTAATGAAAAGTATTCTATCACACTTCTAAATTTAAATTAAATTGGCAGGGGGATGGAATTCAGACAAGTAGTTCAAAGGGGAGATAGTCTAACCATTTCCACTTGACATTCAACAGCGTCACCATCACTGAATTCCCCACAATCACTATCCTGACAGTTACCATTGACCATCAATCTAGCCATATAAATACTGTGGCAGCACGAGCAGGTCAGAGATTTAAGACCCCTGCAGCGAGTAACTCGCTTTGTGACTCTACAAAACCTCTACAAGGCACAAATCAGGAGTGTGATGACATACTTCCTAATTGTGTGATGAGTACAGCTTCAACAACACTCAAATGTTGACACCATTAAGGATAAAGCAGCCTGCTTGATTGGCATCACACCCATAAAAATTTACTCCCTCCACCATAGCACAATGGCAGTGTCTACCTTCAATAAGATGCACTACAGAAATGTAACAAGATTCTTTTGTCAGCACTTTCTAAACCATAAGCAAATAACTGAAAACACCACCACCTGCAAGTTCCCCTCCAAGTCTCGCACCACCCTGACTTGGAACCAAGGTGCTGTTCCTTCACTGTAGCCGAAACAAAATTCTGGAACTTCCTTCCTAGCAGAATTGTAGGTGTACCTACACCACTGGATATAATTGGTTCCAGAAGGAAGCTCCCCTAAATTCTCCTTGAGGACAATTAGGAATGGGCAATAAATGCTGGCCTAGCTGGTGATGTATGCATCCCATGAGCAACTTATTTTAAAAATAAATGATTTGGGAACACTTGTACACAAAAGTGCAAGATTGCTATAAAAATGTGCACTTTTGGTACTTTTGGCCAAGCAGTGTTGCTGTTTCATACTGGTTAAAAAATACAAAGTCTTGTCTCTGTTAATATAAAACAGCCAATGTTTTACCAGTGACGTATTTAAAAGGGTTCTAATGTTATTGATTGCAGTGTAAAAATAGCATTTACTAATTTAGTTTTTGATTGCATCTCTTTGTTGTTTATTCATGGGCTTTTCTGTCCAGAATTGTTCTCTTCATTGCACAATCACTTTCAGTGTTGTTTTGCAACCAGGAGCCATAATTTAGTGGAACCTGGTTGTTTGCTGGCTGTGCTCACAAAGTAGGAGCAACCTGGCTTTCCCTAACTAGATACCCAATAATGTGTCTAACTGTTGACTAAATTTACTCTCAAAAACAATTCATAAGACTCAAATTCACAGTTATTCTGCATCAAATTAAAGTTGTATTGGTTTGGACATCATCAGACTTTGGAATCCTTATGATGTTAACATCTCTAACCATATTCTGCTTAAGAAGAGAATACTGTGAAGATTGTGTCAAAAGCAATTTGTGTTATTAACAACAGTGAAAGGTTTTAAAATTGTTTCCGTAAGGTAGCTGTTTTCTGTCTCTGTTGTGGTAAAGGGTATTTCCATTCCCTTGCAACTTGTACAATTTCATTACTGTAAATTAGATATAAATGTATTTTTCTACAAATGTAACCACACAAAGCAGTCAATTTTATACTGTAATGTTTAAAGCAGCATAGAATGATGTAAATGACCATTTTTTTTTGTTGTCCCTTTATATCCTAGTTGCTCAAATGGAGGCTGAGACTATGAAAGAAGTGTGTAAGGCAAGCTTGAAGTCTGGAAACACATCTACACCAAAGGGACCTAGGATTTTTAGCGGCACTTTTGATAGTACTTTTGATAGTAGCACTGTATATAATGGCTCGTTTTCTTCAATTAGTCATTCATCTAGGATATCAATGAAAATGCAAAAAGTCAAACAGAAACTGGATACAGTCATGGTATGTACCATAAGTGAAATGCAAAGAAAATACAGATGTTACCTTTAGGACTCTATTGCAATGTTCGTTACAATACTTTGTACATGAATCGTATAAAGGGCTCATTCAAAGTCCTCTTAATAAGTACACAAAATATGCCTGATAGGCTGAGGAGAATTAGTTTGATGTTCCCATGCTGATTCTGAAAACATACCATTCGTCAATATTATTTACGAATATTATTTGTTTTAACAGAAACACTCATTAACAAGAATATTAGTGTGTGGTTATCACTTGACTAAGGGCTGACAGAGGATTGTGCCATTTTAATGTTACTGGACTAGAGAACTAGAACCCCAAGCTAATGGTCTGTGAACATGGGTTTGAATCTCACTATGGCATTTGGTGAAATTTGGACTCAATAAGAAACATCTGGAACAACTGTGCGCCCACATTCAACACTGCCTTTTAGGGAAGGAAATCTGCTATACTTACCTAGTCTGGTGTATATTTGACTCCAGATCCACAGCAATGACTTTTAACTGCCCTATGGGTAATAAGGGAAGAAATGCTGGCCTAGACAGCAATGCCCACATCCTATGAACAAACAAAAACAAATCTAGAAGAGGAGTCAAGTGAATGATGACATCTGAGGACCTTATTTTAAATATTGCTGATTAGTGGAATTCCAAATGGATATAGTCACTCGGTACACCTTAACTATTGCAAATAGCCGCCATTCAGCTACACCATTGTTATTTAGAAATACTTGCACATCAAAATGACACAACATTTTAAAATAAGTATTATTGTTTATACTTCATCAGCTCCAAAAACAATTTGGGTTTATTTGACAGCTTTCATAACTACAGAACTTGTCCAACAATTTGCGGCAAATTAGATGCTTTGTGAGTATTATCACCGTTATATGTAGGAAATTTAAAAATACATATAATAATATATATAAATATTTGAATAATACAAGACAGGAAATTTAAAAATAAACTTAATGCTTAGTCCATAAATCAACACTCCACAGAAGTGAGTTTCAGCAACTGTTTTGATCCCAATAATCACCAGTCAAACAAGACCACAGAAGTTGATGAGGACAAAAAAGCCACGATGGACCATTGGCAAAGCGTGTTCGACGGGAATGAATGTGATCAACACAAATTTTGTGGTATTTTGTTTGGAGCAGCATGCAGGGGCTTGGCTAGGATCCCTTTTGCTCATAATAAAAGTGAGGAGAATGGGAGTAGGTGGCACAGCCAACTTCAAATTATAAAACCAGGAGAAAGGAAAACGTGAAGAAAGGAATTAATAAAGGCAAAATAGCTATTTCATGATAGAATCCGTACAGTGTGAAAAGATGCATTTGGCCCATCGACTCTGCATTGAACTGCCAAAGAGCATCCCACCTAGACCCTTACCCTATCCCCGTAACCCTGCATTTACCATGAGTAATCCACCTAGCCTACACGTCCCTGGACACTACAGACAATTCATCATGGCCAGTCCACCTAACCTGCACGTCTATGGACTGTCAGAGGAAACTGGGGCACACAGTGAGAACCCACACAGACATGGGGAGAATGTGCAAACTCCACACAGACAGTCAGCCAAGGGTGGTTTGAAACCTGGGTCCCCGGTCCCTGTAAAAGGCAGCAGTGTTAACCACTGAGCCACCATGCTGACTCATTTGAGTGTACCTCACATTAATGTATAGAGATACAAATTCTGTATGTATTTAGGATGTACAGCTTTGGTCTGAATTCTGTGGGTATAGTATCTAATATTTTCAGTCAAATTCTGTTAATGATCTATGTGATGAATCCAACATGAGCACCAAGTTGTCAGGCTGGCAGTGTTGAATTAGTCCATTAATGTGTTGAAAATCAGTATCTCCATTTTCTGTTATAATGCAAAGTTTAATGTTTCGAATACTTCTTGCACGGATAGTAGAGGAATGTGCATTGATTCTAAAGTGATATTTTCTTGTATAGTATGACTTAATTCACTGGCATGAAATGTCAGTATAAATGACTAAAATCAATACTGATGCCAATTCAGCAAATATGCTGCAATATTTTATAATGTATCAACTAATTCATCACCTTTAAAGGATTTCATCCAAAAGCTAGACAGTATTTTTATGTTGATGACAGTTAATGGCATTGTTTTAAAAAAAAAATGAAACAAGTAGGAACCTTTTTGCAGATTATTTTCAAGAGCAAAATGCAAATACAGCTAAAGTAAGGAAGAAAGTTGGAAGTGGTTAAAAATGTAATAGTTATGAGTGTTAATAGAATTTAGGGAAAATAATTGGAATTAAATAATTAAATACATTTTTATGTTTTTGAGTTTTAATTTATAATGTGCTGGATTGAAGACCTGTGATCTTCAGCTGTTTGCTTAATTGTTTCACCAGAAGCACTGTTATGCAGTAAAACAGAATTGTTTAATTATTCAACACTGACTTTAATACTGAAGAGAAGGCCATCCTTATTTTTAGTAGAATTTGTTGTTCTGAAGCTCATGAAAGCCAGGTGTTCCTGATTTGTGAAGTCTTTGCCCAGGTGCATTCACCCTGTGGGTGTAATCCAGGGAATCCTGCCAAAATAAGCTACTTTCCATAAAAAATTAGCATTATATTTTCAATGGAGGCAATTGTTAGTGAGGCTACAGGGGCAACAAGATAGAGAATTACCGTGCGCTAGTGCTATTAACAGAAATATCTGTGGATGATGCACCTGTTTGTGTGTGTGGAGGGGAGCGGGGTGTCAGTTAACAACGGTCATTAAGATTTGTGCAAGCACATGTGGTCTTGGAATATTGTCACCTCGAGTACATTGAAACTTAAGATTGTTAGACCTATATATATATTTAGAGAACAGTTGTTTTAATGTGTGAGTGATTATATTTATTGTGCTGGAAAGCTAGGGATATCACGCCAGAGCTTTTTTTTAAACTCCTTTGTGTGTCTAATCCAATATTAAAATATAGTTTTCGGCCTTTTATGCAACCAGTCTGCCGGCTTGACAGTATAAAATGTAGTCTTCACTGTCATTGACCAAACTTGGCAATTTCAGACACTCAACTTCCTTTCTATGAAACTGACCAATAGATGCCAACTTCTGATATTGGTCAAGACTGGTATTTAAAGCCTGTTCATTGAATTCTGTCTTTTATCCAGCATCTTCACTGTCGTGAAGGCTACCTGCCTACATCTTTGTAAAATGTGCTGCCCCCTCCAGCCCATCTGCCAATGAAAACATTGTTCACTCATGTCTGTTTCAGTTCCTGGCTCAATAGTGAACTGTATTTTGATGGCAAATGCCTGAAGTTGGAGATGGGCAAAGCTTTGTCGGCATTCATCAAGGTGGACTGGGAATCAGGTTTGCAGCCTGCTCCATGAGGAGACAGGCAATTGGTGTAATTAAGGCCCTATTGTGGGCCATGTTTCATTTCCCCATCTTTTGTGGTGCCCTTCAGTTCAATTGAGGCAGACTTCTGAGGGCAGTCAGGCGACCATTCGAGTTACAGAGTGAAAGGTTGCATCTCTATCAGTTAACATTCATGCAAGGGATTTCCCTTCTGTCTGGACCCACAGGCTTCGCACCTCTAATTGTTCATTTCTACACAGGCTAGCCAAGGATACCACATGTTGTAGTGCCCTGGCTCACCTTCCTGTTTTGGCAACACTCACCTCATCCAAGGATACTGTGGGCTGAACATTGTTCCTGGCCCTCTGAGTAGCCCAACCTTATATCGTTCATGGGAGATGGGTGTTACTGGCTGGGCCAGCATTAATTGTCCATTCCTATTTGCTGTTGAGTAGTTGGTGCTGAGCTGCTACTTTGAACTGCTGCATTCCATGTGTTATAGGTAGGCCCAGGATGCTTTTAGGGGCTAGCCCCAGGTATTGGATCCAGAGACACTGAAAGAACAGCGATATATTTCCAAGTCAGGAAGGTGAGTGGCTTGGAGGGGAACTTACAGATTGTGGTGTTCCCATCTATCTACTGCCTTTGTGCTTCTAGATGGCAGTGGTCATGAGTTTGGAAAGTGCTATCAGAGGACCATTGGTGAATTTCTGCAGTGCAACTTGTAGGTAGTACACACTGATGCTACTGAGTGACATTGGTGGAGGGAGTAAATATTTGTGGATGTGGTGCCACTTAAGTGGTTGCTTTGTCCTGAATGATGTCAAGCTCCTTGTATATTGTTGGAGCTGCACCCATCCAGGAATGTTGGGAGTATTTCATAGCACTCCTGACTGTTGTCTTGTAGATGGTGGACAGGCCATGGGGAGTCAGGAGGTGAGTTATTTGCTGCAGGATTCCCAGCCCCTGGCATCCATTTGTAGCTACTGTATTTATATGACTAGTGAAGTTTAATTTCTGGTCAATGGTAATCCCGGGATTTTGATAGTAGGGGATTCAGTGATGGTAATATGAATGAATATGAAGGGACAATGACTAGATTTGCTCTTGTTGGAGAAGATCTTTGCCCAGCATTTATGTGGCACAAATGTTACTTGTTACTTGTCAGCTCTGGATTTTGCCCAGCTCTTGCCACTTTAGGGCATGTACTGCTTCAGTATCTGAACAGTCTTGAACGGTGCTCAACTTTGTGCAATTGTCAGCAAATATCCCTTCTTCTGACCTTATAATGGAGGGAAGATTATTGATGAAGCAGCTGAAGATGTTTGGGCCTAGGCCACTCTCCTGGGGAACTCCTGAAGATGTGTCCTAGACTAAGATGACTGATCTCTGACAACCACTACAATCATCTTTTGTGCCAGGTATGATTCTGACCAGTGGGGTGTTTCCACTGATTTCCATGGACTGCAGTCTTTCCAGGGCTCCTTGATGCCAAAATTGTAGGTGCAAAACTGTTTCAAATGATTTTATCTGTTTTTGTTTCCTTGTTTATTGATAGCTATTACCTCATTGGTAGCTTTTCTACTTCCTTCTGGTTAAACATAAATTATGTTCCTTTGTATTGAGTAAAATTTCAGGCAATGAATCTGTTTTTAATTCTTTTATAGAATATGGACATTTATTGATCCCTAATTGGGAGCGTGGTTGGTGTAAGCTATCTTTTTGAATTGTTTCAGTCCATTTGGTGCAGGGACAACCACGTTGCTGATAGGAAGGGAGTTTCCAGATTTTGAGCTGGCAACCGTGAGACAATAACAATATAGTTCCAAGTCAGGATGGTGTGTACCTTTGAGGGGAACTTGCAGGGGCTGATGCTCTGATTCATCTATGTGTAGGCCTAGTCTGCAGAATTGTCTGTCAGCACTCAATAAGCTTGGTTAATAATGATGTAACCAAAAAAAGGCACGATGGTAGACATGGAAGTCCCCCATTAGTGTATCCTGCACCCTTGTGATCCACAGTGCTCATTCAGATTATAGTGGTTGTCAGATATCAGTCATCTTAGTCTAGGATACATCTTCAGGAGTTCCGTAGGAGAGTGGCCTAGGCCCAAACATGGAGGAATACTGATCAATTGACCTGGTAATCAACAAATTTCCTTCTCGATATTTGAGACTTCATGACCTCTAAATTAATGTTCAGAATTCCCAAGGTAACTCAAAGTTTTGGCAGAGATCTGTAGCTCGGGTTGTGGATGCGGTTGTTGACTTGCTCAACAAGTTGGCATGTTCTCATTCAGACGCTTCGTCACCATGCTAGGTGACATCATCAGTGAAGCCTCCGATGAAGCGATGTTATTCTACTCCGCTCAGAATTTATACTGTCTGGTCCAATATGGTGAGTAGTGTTGTTTCCTGTTGTGATCTGTATGTGTTTGTATATACAGTCCAATTCTATGTGTTTGTTGATTGCATTACGGTTGGAGAACCATGCCTCTAGGAATTCCCGTGCGTGTCTATGTTTGGCTTGGACTACTATGATTACCTTGTCCCAGTTAAACTGATGGCCTTCATTGTTCGAGTGTACCGATATTAAGGAGAGTTCGTCATGCTGTTTTGCTGCTAGCTGATGTTCATGTATTCTGATGGCTAATTTTCTTCCTGTTTGTCCGATGTAATGTTTGTGGCAGTCGTTGCATGGTATTTTGTAAACCACGTTCGTTCTACATGTTGTGGGAATGGGGTCTTTTAATCCTTGTAAGTGTTTGCCACGACACTGAAAGATATGCAGGCTAGGTGGATTGGCCATGCTAAATTGCCCTTAGTGTTCAGGAATATGTAGATTAGGTGGGTTATAGGGGGATGGGTCTGGGTAGAATGCTCTGAGGGTTGCTGTGGACTTGTTGGGCCGAAGGGCCTGTTTCCACACCGTAGGGATTCTATGATCTGTGATTGACGTTACATTGGACAGACAGGAAGGAAACTAGCCATTAGAATACATGAACATCAACTAGCAGCAAAACGACAAGATGAACTCTCCGTAATACTAGTACAGTCAGACAATGAAGGCCATCAGTTCAACTGGGACAAGGTAACCATTGTAGCCCAAGCCAAACATAGATACGCACGGGAATTCCTAGAGGCATGGTTCTCCATCCATAATGCAATCAACAATCAACAAATAGAATTTGACCCCATATACAAACCCATACAGATCAAAACAGGAAATGACACTACTCACCATAATGGACTGGACAGTATAAATTCCTGGCGGAGTAGAACAACATCGCTTCATCGGAGGCTCCACTGATGATGTCACCTAGCACGGTGATGAAACGTCTGAATGAGAACAAGCCAGCTCGGCGAGCAAGTCAACTTCTCCCAGGGTAACTGTCTCCCGACCATACTGCTAAGCTGTCACCACTGTTAGGTACGTTCTGAAGGAAAACAAGACTTGTTCAAGTACAATGATTATTGTGTTTGGGACATTGGCTGTAGGATAAGATTCTATGAGCATGTCTGTGTAAGGCTGTTGCTTTGACTAGTTTGCCAATTTTGGCAGATGATAGTAAGGAGGACTTTGCAGAGTTGTTAGGTCAGAAACAACACCTAGTTGTTTCTGGTGCCTAAGTTGATGTCAAGTGATCCAAAAGGTTTTATTCCTTTGTGACTTTTTCTGTAGAGTTTTGGTGCAACTGAGTAGATTGCTGGGCCATTGCAGAGGCAGTTAAGAGATCCGTCAGAATGCTGTGGGTTTGGAGCTGCACGTATGCTAAATTCCTTTGTGATAGTTCCATAGCAGAATTTTCATTTCTAGTTTTGTTAAAAATACGCAATTAATTAAATGATGAATGCTACCAATTGCTACGGTAAGATTTGAACCCGTGCCCCAGACTTTGTTACTCGTCCAGAGATGTTACCATTGCACCACCATCTCCTTGTAGTGATTGTGAATATATTTCAACCAATCAAGAAAAACACATACTTTGCCGATGCAGTGCATACTTTGATAGTTACAGGATAAGTTGATGATATAGACATCAATAGAAAATGAATAAGAGACTAAATGGTTTCCATAAGACCAAAAGATTTAGGAGTAAAATTAGACTATTTGGCCTATCGAGTCTGCTGCACCATTTGATCATGGCTGAAATGTTTTTCAATCCCATTCTCCTCCCTTCTCTCCAAAACCCTTGATTCCCTTACTAATCAAGAGCCTACCTATCTCTGTCTTAAATACACCCAATGGTTTGGCTGCCACAGCCTTCTGCAGCAATGAGTCCCACAGATTAAGCACCCTCTGGCTGAAAAAATTCTTCCTCCTCTCAGTTATGAAGGGTCGTCCTGTCATTCTGAGGCAGTGCCCCTGGGTCCCAATCTCTCCAACTAGTGGAAATATCTTCTCCATATCCGCTCTAACCAGGCCTCTCAGAGATTTGTAAGTTTCAATCAGATTCCCACTCATCTTTTTGAACTCCCTTGATGCAGTCCCAACAGCTCAACTGCTTCTCATATGACCAGCCTTTCACATGCAGGATCATTCTTGTAAACCTCCTCTGAACCACCTCCAAGGCCAGTACATCCTTTCTTTGATACAGGGTGCAAAACTGCTCACAATGTTCCAAATGCATTCTGACCAACCATATACAGCCTCAACACTACATCTCTGCTCTTGTATTCCAGCCCTCTTGAAATGAACGCTAACATTGCATTTGCCTTTCTAACTGCCACTGAACCTGCATGTTAAACTTAAGCGAATCCTGAACTAGAACTGTTAAGTCCCTTTGTGCTTCAGATATCCGAAGCCTTTCCCCATTTTCCTACCAAAATAGATAACCTCACAGTTTCCTGTATTGTATTCCACCTGCCAGTTCTTTGCTCACTGTCCTAGCCTGTCCAAGTCCTTCTGCAGCCTCTCCACTTTCTCAATAATACTTGCCTCTCCACCTATCTATGTGTCATCTGCAAACCTAGCAACAATTCCCTCAGTTCCTTCTTCCAGATTGTTAGTGTACAACATGAATAATTGTGACCCCAAAACAGACCCCTGCAGAGCTCCACTAGTCACTAGCTGCTATCCTGAAAAAGACCCCAGTAACCTTACTCTCTGCTTTCTGCCAGTCAGCCAGTCCTTTATCCATGCCAGTACTTTGCTCCTAATGCCATGGGCTGTCAGGTTGTTTAGCAGCCTCCTGTGGAGCACCTTGTCAGAGGCTTTCTGGAAATTGAAATAGATCATGTCCATTGGCTCTCCTTTGTCTAACTTGCTTGTTACCTCAGAGAATTCTAGCATATTTGTCAGGCATGACCTCCCCTTGACGAAGCCATGTTGACTCAGCCCTATTTTACTATGCACTTGCAAGTATTTTGCAATCTTATCCTTAATAATGGACTCTAAAATCTTGCCAGTGACTGAGGTCAGGCTAATAGAGCTATAGTTACAGGTCTGCTGCCTCCCTCCCTTCATAAACAGTGGTATTGTATTAGCCATTTTGTCGTCCGCTGGGATCGTCCCTGACTCTAGTGATTCCTGAGAATTCACCACCAATGCCTCTACAATCTCCTCAGCTGTCTCCTTCAGAACTTTGGGGTGTCGTCCATCTGGTCCGAGTGATTTATCCACCTTCAGAACTTTCGGCCTCCCCAGTCACTTGGTGATGGGCACTACACTCCTCTCTGCCCCAACTCTTTTGAAGTTCTGGTATGCTGTTGATGTCTTCTGCTGTGAAAACAGATACAAAGAACATAATCAGTTCCTCCACCATCTTTTTGTTCCCCATTACTACTTTTCCAGCCTCATTTTCCACTGGTACAATGTCCACTCTTGCCTCTCTCTTACCTTTTATATTATCTAAAAAAGAACTCCTGCAATCATCTTTATATTACTAGCTAGCTTATCCACCTATTTCATTTTCTGTCAGCTTATTGCTTTTTTAGTTATCCTCTGCTGGTTTTTAAAGGTTTCCCAAACCTCTGGCCTCCCACTAACCTTCACTACATGATATGGTTTCTCATTTGCTTTTATGCTGTCCCTGACTTCCCTTGTCAGCCTTTTTTCCCTTTTCAAAGAGTGGCAAACTCACATTAGATGCAGCAATGTTAATGATAATAGAGTAATCTATTTACTTAATTTCAAAATATTTCTTTTTAAAATCTGAATTTTGTTTATTGTAGGCATCAGTACAACAGAGCACTTCAGAAATGGATTTTGCAAACCAAGGTATGTGAAAGGGTACAGATGCTGTTATCCAGCTCTTTGTGTTTTTGTCCATCCAGGCTACTGTTAAAACAGAACTTACTCCACACTGGTGTTGGATGAATTTTTGTTATTGGCTTGATGTGGTTTACACTAGAATAAGTCTTCGCTGTTCCATTAGTGGAGGAATCTATTGTTAAGAGGCATTTTATTACGCCAATCATTGACCAGTTGTTTAGATTTGCTAAGGTCCAGAAGGTAAAGGGAAAAAAGGCAAGAAAATATATTTTAAGGAAAATAGTGATGGGAAATTTAGAGCATGCAATTTTGAAAAGCTAAGATAAAAAATAGAAGAGTGAGTGAATTGCTGGAGGATGGCCAAATAAGTGGAGTCAATGATGAACAGAAAGGAGCTGTTGTGACACAGTAGTAGTGTACCTATCTCTGGGCGATAATGTGCACATTTAAATTCCATCTGCCTCAGAGGTAGGTCATACATGTCTGAACAGGTTGATTAAAATAATCAAATGATGAACAGAAAATCACATTTGAAATTTGTATTTATAATTATTTTGTTTTACAGTGAAGCGCAGACAAAAAAAACAGCATAAACTGTTGGATTGAGGGGGCTATTTCTCTGTTGTAGCTCCTGTATAACTCTGTGTAATTAGAGTAATAAAACCGACAACTGAGTGACTGCGTTACTTGTAATACAATGTTAAAATGTAGCATCATGTATGATTTTTTTAAAATGTAGCTGAGCCAGAGATTCTCCTTGACTATGTACTACTTTAGTTTAAACTTTGATTTTGCAATTATTTCTCGTACTTAGACAGAAAAAACTTCTTCAACCACATACTTATTCATTTTTGTTCAATAGGAGTGGCTCCAATGATGCCATTGGATATGATTTCGGATTCCTCTTTTAGTTCTGTGGGCAATCACTACTACAATAGTGTAAGTACTGATGAGATGAATCTAGAGCTGTAAAAATGTTGAGCTTTTACTTGTGAATAATGGGATGATGATTGCACATATCTTCCTTTCAAACTTGTACTAACAGACTGCAATGTGCACTTAGTTTGGGGCTAAACTTTGACAGCTCTCAGCAATTACTGATTAACTTGCTTCCCATTGAATGCAATGCAGGCAGCAAGGCAACTTCATGCTACCTATTCATTTCAATTAGTTCAGACCCAGCCAGTACTAACTTCACTATTCATTCAGCTGGAAGCAGTACCAGAGAGCTAATATCATGAGTATCAAATCCTGTTTGTACTTTGTGACTCAGTCAGTAGAGCTTTCCTTTTGCTGTCTTAATGTCAAGGCCAGTCACTCTCACCTTTGATTTATTTACTCCTGGAACGTGGGCATCACTACTGGCCAGCATTTATTGCCCATCCCAATGCCCTTGAGAAGATGATGGTGAACTGCCTTCTTGAACCGCTACAGTCCATTCCAGGTCATGCCTCTTTTGTCCATATTTGGACCAAGGTTCTAATAATGTCAGAAGTTTTTGGCGCTGATGGAACTCAAACTGTGTCGGTGAGCATCTTATTGCTAAACAACTGATGCTTGATGGCACTGTTGACGACTCTCACCATCACATGGGGCTGGCACAGTGGCTCAGTGGTTAGCACTCCTGCCTTACAGCAACAGGCACTCAGGTTCGATTCCAGCCTCAGATGATTTTTTGTGTGGCGTTTGTGTATTCTCCCCATGTCTGTGTGGATTTCTGCCGGATGCTCCAGTTTCCTACCACAGTCCAAAGATGTACAAGTTAGGTGAGTTGCCCGTGCTAAAGTGTCCATAGTGTCCAGGGATGTCTAGGCTAGGTGGATTAGCTATTAGTAAATGTGGAGTTGTGGGCATAGTGTATTGGGCTGAGTCTGGTGGGATATTCTTCAGAGGGTTGATGTAGACTCAGTGAGCCAGATGGCCTTTTTCCACGGTGTAGGTATTCTATGATTCTGCTTACCTGATGATTTAGATTAGACTGTTAGGGCACTAATTGTCTAGGTTAGATTTATCCTGCTTTTTGTGGACAAGATGTACCTGGGCAATTTTCTATATTAGTGGGTAGATGCCAATTTCTTCTCTCTTTTACCTTTTCTCTCCTATCCCCTCACTTGATAGTAATGACAGAGCGAGTGGTATGCTGGTCCACAGGGTTATAAATTGTGGTTGAATACAACTCTGCTGCCTACAGTGTCAAATGAATGTCCAGTTTTGAGTTGCTAGACCTGTTTAAAATCTATCCCATTCAGCATGGTGATAGTGCGACACAACATGATGGACGCTATCTTCAACTCATTTTCATCTTCCCAATGGCTTTGTATGCACGGACTGATGTGCTACAGATAGATTGGTGAGTGCAAAGTCGAGTCAGTTTTTCCAACTTGATGGTTCCTCACCACTTGCCATAGTCCCATAAGACTGTAAAAGTAGGCCATTTGACCTCTGAAGCCTGCTCTGCCATTCAGTAGGATCATTGCTGATCCAACACTCCTCACATCCACTTTTCTACCCTATCCCCATAACCCTTGATTCCCCTACTGATTAAAAATCTTATGTTTTTTGTTTATTCATTTGTGGGATAGGGACATCGCTGGCTGGCCAGCAGTTATTGTCCATCTCTGGTTACCCGTGAGGTGCGTTGCCTTCTTGAACTAATGCAGTCCACCTCCTGTGGGTTGATCCACAATGCCATTAGTGAGGGAATTCCAGGATTTTAAACCAGCTACAGTGAAGGAATGGCGATATATTTCCAAGTCAGGATGATGAGTGGCTTCATAGAATACCCAGTGTGGAACTTGTAGGTGGTGGTGTTCCCATGTAAATGCTGTCCTTGCCCTTCTAGATGGAAGCGGTCATGGGTTTGGAAGGTGTTGTCTGAGGATCTTTGGTGAATTTCTGCAGTGCATCTTGTAGAAGATGCTGCTGAGCATCGGTGGTGGAGGGAGTGAATGCTTGTGAATGTAATACCAATAAAGCAGGCTGCTTTGCTCTGGATGGTGTCAAGCTTCTTGAGTGTTGTTGGAGTTGCATTCATTCAAGCAAGTGGGGACTTTTCCATCAAACTCCTAACTTGTGCCTTGTAGATGGTAGACAGGCTTTGGGGAGGAGGGAGTTGAGTTACTCACGGCCTTAAATATATAGAAGGACTATGTCCTACAGCTCTCTGTGGCACAGAGTTTGAAAGACACTCAACCTTCAGAGAGAAGAAATTCCTCCTCACCTCAGTCTTAAATTGACATCCCTTTATTCGGAGACTATCCTTGGGGACTCAGCTAGCTCAGTCAGCAATGGAGCTACCAAACCACTCTTAGTCATGGACATTGAATTTCCCTACAGCAAGTCTCAGTGATCATCCTTACACTACAGCAATCACCAAACTGAGATGTTGCAAATATCTTCAGTTCCAGCTTGGAAGAAACAAAGTGAATAAAAATTGATTGCCCTGGTCAGCTTCACAACCACTAGGAATGTTTTTTGCCTGCTCCACATTCATAGTTGTAATTGTGTAATTGGAAAACTTTCTGTGAAGGCATTCTTACTGAAGCACCAGGCATCTCTCATCCTGTTGTTCGCTGAGATCCAGATAGCAAATTTGCTGTCTGAGGGCTATAAGCAGGTGTGGCCTCCTGCTGAGATCCGATCCTCTGCATTGGCTTTTGCGGAAAATCTTAAATCCGCATGAAGGAACAGAGAATAGCCATGATTTATTTAAAATTGAATTCAACCTAGGAATTATGATGGCTTCATGTAGGAATGAGTGAGGGGACAAAATGCCTAAGTGGGTGAAATTAAAGGTGGCATTTACCAGGTTATGGAAAGATGAAGGAAAGGCCGAAGAAGTGTTAACGGAATGTGTCAGCCTATCTGGTAGAACAGCAGAGAAACAATGAGGAGTGGAATTTAATTTAAATCCAGTGGTAGCTTGAGCAATAAAGACCAAGGATGAAATGCTGGGGAGCCTGTGGACATAGGGTATATCCATGGGATCAGTGTAATGAGGTAACTAAACCAAAGAATTGATGTAGAGTAGGATCTTGGGCAACATCAAAGTCTAGAGGAGTTAAATCAGAATGAAGTGAAAAGTCCCCTGAAAGGGACTCCTAGAAAGGCTCATAAAAGAAGGCCAAGTAGTGGACAAGAGGTATTCCAGCAGAAAATGCACGCTTGGTAGAAAATACAAGTGGAAGTCGCAGTAAGGCCTGAATGCAACAAAGAAATGACATTTGGCCCAGGAGGACGTGGTTTTAGATCCAGGTCCTAGAAGTGCATAATAGAAAAGATTGGAAATCAAATGGAGAACAGCAGGAGGTGGAGGATTAACATTTCAAGCTGAAGAGGCAGTCCTAAACCAAAACTCTGATTCAGTGCAGGACCATTGCAGCCAAAGCATACAGCATATAATTGAGGGCTCTTGCGGTTCACTGGTATGTCCTTGTGCCTGGGCCAGGTGGTTCAGATTCAAGTCCCACCTGCCCCAGATGTGTGCTGTAACATGTCTGATTAGGTTGATTAGAAAATATCTGGAAATGTAAAGGCGAAAAGTACAGAAAAGCCAATGTGAGCAGCATTCATGGATGAGTGTGGTGTAAATAATTGAGGAAAATTTGGCAAAAATGTATCCACTGTAAGAATTGGGAATCTTAAACAATAGATAAAAAGAGATGAGGTTGGGAGGACCAGAATGGCACTGAATGGTCATGGATCAAATTATAAATAATAAGTAGAATGTAATAATCTTCCAGTTTTGAAGCCACCAAAATATTCCTTCTTGAGGAAGTGGACCAGATGAGTTATTGTGCTTAAGTGATTCTTACTGGTGCAGCTGTAGTATGTTGAACTGAATTGATATTAATTGACAGTGTACCAGCGTTGCAATGAATTCTGTAGGTTCGAGGTCCGGGCTTAACCATCAAGGATTTAACCATCATTAACAACCTCTCAAAGTCAATCAGATATCTCTCACTAGGTCATAGAATCCGTTCTAATGCTTCCTACGTGGTATGAATTGCAAGAAAATAAAATAGTGTGAGATTCATTTTCTTTATAAAATATGTTTCAGTATAGCTACAAGCATATATTAATGAGATTAATATATGTGGAAGTTAAATCCTTTTGGGTGATTAAGTTATAATGGATGACATTGGAATTTCAATAGTATGATGAAATATGATTGATATTGAATGATCAATATACAGTTTGTTCTTACATATTTTACTAAGTTTTTTTTCACAATGGACCTATGTGAGTTGCGTCTATAAGTTTATTAAGGATAATTCAAAGGATGATTTGAATGAAATGAGAAGGGTAGTGCCTAGAGGCAATGAATGTCAATTGTAAGAAGACAAATAGTAGAAGACTGTGCTCTGATAACAGGTAAAGAATGACAGAAAATTTGACTTGCAAGTTTATGCAAATCAGTATCTGCTCTTGAAGGTCAAAGGTTTGGAGTTGATCTGATGAGCCACAGGCATGATCTTTTTTTAAAAAGGTAATAATCTTAATTTTTTCTGCCAAACTTCAAACTTAATTGTTCCAGTATGGAAATTTCACATTTCTAGAAATCCGTGTCAATTACATCATTTGCATTATATAAATAAGAAATGCAAAGCGTCCTGTGTAGAAGCTGGCATCTGTTCTTTTTGAACGTTTGTGCCTTTTGCCTAATACAGGCAATTTACATCTATCATATTGCACAAACCAGGACCTGTATTGAAAGTTGTTGTGTTAAATTGTGGCTTATTTTATGACAGTGATATGAACAAACTTTAAAAAATGTCTGCATACTATGTACCTTTATTAAACAGCCACAGAATTATCTACAAGATCAGTTATGCAATTTTTTTTCTCTTGATATATTTTGAAAACGATGATTGCTTCATTTTCTTTAATCTGTGCCAAGAAAAACTTACATAACATAAACCTGCATGTTTAGTAGAGGA